GAAAATATACTCTACATATGACTCTGTTATATCTCAAGTAATTGTAATTAAGGATGGATCATGCGGGTGGGAGTAGTCGTCTCTTAAAAAAAATTAAATTAATATATATTTTAGATATTTTATTTATATTTGATAATTTATTTTTATTCCCTAAAATTTTATAAGTCTGCATCCTTATTGTAATGTTTCATCTGCCTTAGTTTTTCAGATTTGTATACATTTCAAATTTGACCCAAATAATTCTCAACAAAATGGATGTACTTGTATTTATTGACAAACAAACAACCGAGACAGAAAAATAAAAGCAAATCTTAAACTAAATTTCTTTTCATCAAAGTAATCAAGAAACACATAGGAGAATATTTTTTTCATATATTTTCTCAGTTATCAAACACCTGAAAATTTCAAATTTTCAAACATTGATTGTACAATGGAAATTAAGAATAAATAAAACGAAAATGTCAAATAAGAATAATGATAAAATAATAGTACTTTATAGATTATTAAAACGTTATTAAAAAAGTATTCAACACCCAAATCGGGTGACCCAATTCACGTGATGTTTTAGCACACATAATTAACCAAGTATATATCAGTATGAATCATGATAATGATTTATTATTGGAAATAATTTTTTTTTTGCTTATATAATTGAATATTAAATAAAAACTGCGACAAAAGAAGGGAAAAAGGAATAAATAAATGCAATATAAAGAAGTAAACAAATAATTGATACAGGAGCTTCCAAAAATTGAGTTTAGGGCGGTGGGAAGACAATTGACATTGTCATTTGTCATGTTATAACACTTACTTTTGTCTCTTAGAGTGACACGTAATACATTTGTAAAAGATAGTATAAAACTGTTTGAAAATTGGATTAATGGTTTTGTTGAAAATAAATTAATATGGTTTCTGAATTTATTTTATATTTAATATGATTTTTAAATAAAAGAAAAAGATATTATGGTCATTTGATCAATAGAAATTATAAATTAGGTTGACCTAATTAATGCATAACTTTAACTACATAATAAGTATAGAACAAAAGCATATGCCATATGTAGGAGTTTATAAAAATAAAATTATATTGAATGTCTCGAAAGTGACTCGCAACGTCTTAAATATAATCTCGATTGATTTATAGATATATGTAAAAACATTAAAATCACAAAATAAACGTAAAGCTTAGTTAGGTAATTAATCAACATACAATTAAGAATATCGTAACATTAAAATTTAATAGGCATAAACTTGTCACTAGAATGGTCAAATACTTGTAATTACGTACTTGATTTACTTATAAAACTTAAAATACCAACTAATCGTAATCAAATATATGAAATTCTTTATATCAAATTAATTATACATTTATTTAACTCGTTGGAGTATAAATAGTTATAGATTTGTAAATTATCTACTCTTCGTCAAATAACTAAGAACAATTTCTTCCTTTTCGCCGATTACCAACATTTTTCACCAAAAAATTTGTAATCCACAAATAATAATCTAAACCCTAGCATGGGTTCAATGGACTCTATTACATCCCAATTGTAGTCAGTATACCTAAATTATTTATAATATAAAATTAATCATAACTTCGAGTTTAAAAGAAAATTATCTACATGATTTAATTAAAAATCAAAGATCCACAGATTTAAAATTAAATGTTTGTATTAAGGTTCGAACTAAAACAATTATCTAAGAAAATTTATATAATTCCTTATTACTCATCGATCTATCCCTGAAGATGGAGGATGCAATAGAAATGATAGTTGTACCAAAATACCCAAGACAATTAATGAGTTGAAAGAAAAAGCTATACAAGGAAGGAGAGGGTTTGAGAGAAGGAAGGTGGAGTGCAGATCCTTCCAATTTTCTGATGGTACGCACGTGAGCAAGAGAAGAGAAGGGGCAGCAGGCATGAAAGTCGATGGTTAGCAAGAGTGGTTATAGAATTAAAAATCCCCACCGAGTGGTCACTATAATCATGGAAACTCGAGCCCTTCTTCTTTAGTACAGAATCTGAAAAGAGAGAGAATCCAAATTCCCAAGGAACACAAAGCAACGATCATTTCTGCAGCGGTTGGCGTTGGCTTTATCCACATGCAGATGCCATAATCAACTATTTATTCAAATGACAATGCTTCTCTTAGCAACGTGCCAAATCTATTTCTGAATTTTATGAGAATCTTCATCTCAATAATTTCCGATTTATATTCGTTTCAGCTGACTCCTAATTATTTATGTCTAAACTTCAGAATCGTGGATGGAGTGAGAGTGTCAACTTGGGAAGGGTAAAGTAAAATGGAGTATTAAATAAAGTGGAATGATTTCTTCTATGTTTTACTCCCATAATAATCGATAAAAGCTAATCCTGAAAATGCAAGTCATATAATTATATCAATAGAAGTTGCAATATAATTTGATTTTTCACAGTTTATTAAGATGAAAAAAAAAATCAATTTTAGGTAATTTTTATCTATAAAAAAAAGAAATATACATTTCTATATTAATTATTAATATAAATTAAATTAAGATAAGAATAATTTAATATATAATTCAAAAATCTATGTAAGATGCATCCTTAATATTGATAAAAATTGAATTATTTAAACTAGGACCTAACAAATGTGTTATTAATGTTAACAAGAAAAAATGAATTATTCAAACTACACCTTAACAAAAATTAAGATATCAACAAAGATGCTTATTTTTCACCTACTTGAATATTTTGTTGTATTCCAGTTCTAAGGTTTCGCTTTGATTAATTCAGACTGACCTGCACCGCACACCTAACTTTGGTAGGTGAATCTCCCGGCATGGATTTTCTTTATACATAAAAACTCGAATTTGAGACATTATTTAAGTGATATTAAACTATTTACCATTTGAATCGATCTAGTAGGTTTTTACCTACTTTAATTTAAACTCCTTTTAAAAAACGTGAACCAGAAACAATCCAAAATTTGACTCACACTCCTTTTTCCAATAAATTATTTTAATCTAAAATTTTAAATCACAATTCATAACCGTTTTTAAGATTGATCATTTATTGTTAAATTTTTTTTCACCAATAATGGTTGTAATATGTTAGTATGATGTATTTTTAGATAGTTACTCTGGGCTTAGACTTTGGAATTGATTCATACACTATTTTGCTCAGTTTTTGTTAACTTTGTTAATGTATGTGTATGTTAAGCTTACATTTTACATATAATTTTTTTAAAAAAAGGCAATATTTTTGACGAGCTTAATGAGTAAGGAATTTTTGAACGACTACTTGTCGACTAAAATTTTATCGAGATTAATAAACAATTAAATGAATTGAACACGAGTTAAATTATTTTTGAGTTAAATAATTTTCAAGTCACATCAAATGTTACCTACTTCAGTGTGATTTATTTATTACTTTTTTCTGAATTTGAAATGTAATAACACTCTTAATTGTATTAGAGACAATGTTTGATTTGCTCTGTTACTTTATTAAATTTTATAATGTAGCATTTCTATGTTTAAAATGTTTATTTTAATATCTAAAATTTTATTCTATCTCTTAATATAGTATCTCTATCCAACGACGTTTAGATGTCATGAGTTATTTTTAATATATATATAGGGTTAAGATCCACTTATATTTAGGTAAACTTTTTAGTCTTACATCTTTTTAGAGTCGTTGGATGAGTGAAAATAGATGATTAATATTATCTTCTTATTTTTTTCTCGTAAATATTTTCTTATTTCCTACTATTAATATCATTAGTCTATTCTATTCATCCAACTATCCTAAAAATATATAAAATTAAAAGTTTTACACCAAGTATAAGTAGATCTTGCCCCATATAAACATAATATTTATTTTAATTGATATTTAGACCTTAATACCATACAATATTATCATGTGTTATTTAAAAAAAACATAAAGTTGATATTTTTATTGACACATAAACTATGGTAGTGGAACTTATTGAGTAATCTTAGTATTAAATGGACTTTTTTTTTTTGAAGTTCCAAATTTAAACAATTGCGGTTGTATGACGTAGCATTATTAATGATTAAAAAATTTAAACATATATTAATTCATAATTATTTTATTTTTTTTTAAAAAATTTATCATGGTGTCATATTTTAATAAGCGTCTTTGGAAAAAAGTTTATTTTCTATTAATCTAAAGTGATATATAATGTAATAAATGTTATAAAATTTGCAATAATTTGATAATGAAATCTCGAACACTCTTATAATTTTTGCTACTCAAACTTAAAACCTCTAACAATAATTATTATTTCTTTAATCATTTAGATAATTTAGTTCATACATTGAAAAAAATGTTTTATAATATAATAACCACTTAAAACCTCTAAAATAATTATTATTTCTTTAATCATTTAGATAATCATACATTAAAAAAAAGGTTTTATAATATAATAACCATAAATAGCTTAATGCAAAACTTTGGCTTTTTGTCTTTCCAATTTCCATACATTTATTATGAGTACTCCATGATTCCTTCCTTGCGTCCATTAAAATTCACACAAAAAGTTAACCTGCCACCCAAAATTCATGAAAATCTCATAGCATTCTAATAAATATCTATAAACGCTTGAATAAAAACAATTACAAATTTAAAATATATTAAACTAAAATAATTTTAAAACAATGCATAAACTCATTAAAAAATACAGTACATTGTTATTACCAATAGTTACAGCACCAGACAAGCTGGGGGAGTTTGATCCTGTTGTCTCCACTAACAATAAAAAAACCAATCACGCCCTCCAAGATCTCGCCACGTGGCATCTGAATCATCGCGGATATGTCCACGCTCCACTCTCTTTCAGTGTCTCCCCTTTTTAATCCCCTCATTTTCTTCACTTGGATTCACACCAAAAGAAAAAGACACTCAACGTCTCTCTTCTTTCTCTTAAAAGTTGAAAAACTCAGTTTCCATTGCTTGATTCTCTCAATCTCTTCGAACCAAGATCTTGTTTTCTCCCTCATAATCCCATTGTTCTTCAAATAAAATGGCTGATAATTGCACTAGAAAGCTGATAGTTGAAATCTGCAACGCCAAAAACTTGATGCCCAAAGATGGGCAAGGAACTGCCAGTGCTTATGCCATTGTCGATTTCGATGGTCAAAGAAGAAGGACAAAAACAAAGCTCCGGGACCTTAATCCAGTTTGGGATGAGAAGCTGGAGTTTCTGGTTCATGATATCGATTCAATGCCTGCCGAGATGTTGGAGATCAATTTGTACAATGATAAGAAAACCGGGAAAAGAAGCACTTTTCTGGGTAAAGTGAAGTTGGCCGGCAGTGTTTTTGTTAAAGCTGGGGAAGAAACTCTTGTTTATTACCCCTTGGAGAAACGGAGTGTCTTTTCCCAGATTAAAGGTGAGATTGGCGTCAAAGTTTTTTATGTTGATGAAGAAGCGCCTCCTGCACCGGAGGAGACCTCGGCTGAGAAGAAGCCTGAGACGGCGGTGGAGAAGCCTCCGGAGAATCCAAAGACAGAGGAGGATAAGGAGGAGGAAAAGAAAGCAGAAGAGGAGAAGCCAAAGGAAGAAGCACCCAAAGGAGAAGAGAAACCAAACCCACCCCCGGCGGAGACTAGTAAGTCTGATGAAACCGCCGCCGCTTCCACTCCAGCGACGCTGACGACCACAACTCCTCCGTCGTCAGAAGTGCAGAACCCTCCATTAGAACATAAAGAGGAGCAAATATCAACGAAGGTAACAGCAAAAAGGAAAGATGAAACGGGTAAAAGCACCCAACTTGTCATCAACGAGTTAGAACTCCGACCATTCTCTGGTGACCATAACCGTATCTCATTCGATCTCGTAGACCGTATGCCATTTTTGTACGTCCGAGTTGTTAAAGCAAAACGAGCCAACAAAGAACCAGTTTGTCCCCTTCATGCAAAACTGGTTATCGGCACTCATAGTATCAAAACAAAAAGCCAAATCGATAAAGATTGGGATCAAGTTTTCGCTTTCGACAAAGAAGGATTGAATTCATGTTCTTTAGAAGTTTCAGTCTGGGCTGAAGAACAGAAAAAGGAAGAGCAGAAGGTAGGAGACGCTGCCGCCGCCGCCGACACTGTCGTGGTGGAGAATTGTCTTGGAACTGTGTCATTCGATCTGCAAGAAGTGCCCAAAAGGGTTCCTCCGGATAGTCCTTTGGCTCCTCAGTGGTATAGTCTTGAATCTGAGAAGTCACCTGGCAATGACGTGATGGTTTCCGTCTGGATCGGAACTCAGGCCGATGAAGCTTTTCAAGAAGCTTGGCAGTCGGATTCGGGTGGGTTAATACCCGAGACCCGAGCAAAAGTTTATTTGTCTCCAAAGCTTTGGTATTTGAGACTAACGGTTATCCAAACCCAAGATTTGCAGCTTGGTTCGGGGTCTGAAGCTAAGGTTCGGAGCCCTGAGCTTTATGTTAAGTCTCAGCTCGGGGCTCAAGTTTTTAAAACCAGTAGAGCTCAATTTGGGACAGCTTGGAATGAGGATTTGGTTTTTGTGGCGGCTGAGCCATTTGAGCCGTTTTTGATGGTCTCTGTTGAGGATTGGAGCAATGGGCAGTCAGTAGGTCAGACTAAAATCCATGTGCCGAGCCTTGAGAGGCGGACCTATGATAAAACCGAACCGAAATCAAAATGGTTTAATCTGGCTGGTGCTGAAACTAAGCCTTACGCCGGTAGAATTCACGTCAGAGCATGTTTAGAAGGCGGGTATCACGTGCTTGATGAAGCTGCTAACGTGACCAGTGATGTTCAAGCCGCGGCTAAGCAGTTAGCTAAACCTCCGATTGGAATGCTCGATGTCGGGATCCGAGGTGCTAGTAATTTGTTGCCGGTTAAGACCAAAGACGGTACTCGTGGCACAACTGATGCTTACGTGGTGGCTAAGTATGGGCAAAAATGGATTCGTACACGTACGATTCTCGATCGATTTAATCCACGTTGGAATGAGCAGTATACTTGGGATGTGTATGATCCATGCACGGTGCTTACCATCGGCGTATTCGACAACGGACGGTACAAGCAAGATGAATCAGGGAAGCCTAGTAGAGATCTACGTATCGGTAAAATACGTGTCCGATTATCGACTCTCGATACAAATAGGGCGTATCTGAATTCCTATACTCTCACCGTATTGTTACCTAATGGGGCCAAGAAGATGGGAGAGATTGAGATAGCCGTTCGATTTTCTTGCTCATCATGGTTGAGTCTAATCCAAGCCTATGGCACCCCAATGTTGCCAAGGATGCACTATCTTCGCCCATTGGGTCCAGCCCAGCAGGACATATTACGCCAAACGGCTATGCGCATAGTGACGGCCAGGCTAGCAAGGTCCGAGCCACCTTTGGGACAAGAAGTGGTTCAATTCATGTTGGATACCGATACACACGTGTGGAGCATGAGGAAGAGCAAGGCAAATTGGTTTAGAGTTGTGGGGTGTTTGTCACGTGCAGCAATTTTGGCACGATGGTTAGACGAGATCCGCACGTGGGGGCACCCGCCGACGACCGTGCTGGTTCATGCATTGCTTATAGCGGTGGTGATGTGCCCTCATTTAGTTCTTCCTACTGTGTTCATGTACGTATTCTTGATTTTAGCTTTGAGATTTCGTTATCGTATGCGGGTTCCACATAATGTGGACTTGAGACTCTCCTATGTTAATGTTGTGAGCTCTGATGAACTTGATGAAGAGTTCGACGGGCTTCCAACCACACGCTCACCGGACATAATACGTTTCCGATATGACCGTTTACGTGCTTTGGCGAGCCGAGCTCAAACACTGTTGGGAGATGTGGCAGCCCAAGGGGAACGTTTAGAGGCATTGTTTAATTGGAAGGACCCAAGAGCTACGGGTATATTTGTAGTGGTGTGCCTGTTTGCCTCACTGGTATTTTACGTGGTACCATTCAAAGTGTTTGTATTAGGATCAGGGTTCTACTACATCCGACACCCGAGGTTCAGAGGGGACATGCCATCGCCTCCTCTCAACTTCTTCCGACGACTACCGTCACTTTCAGATCAAATTATGTAAAACACCGGTGGTGATGCGTTTTGAATACACGTTCTTGGTGAATGCGGTGGAAATGGTACTATTGTTTTGTTTGACGGAGTTCGTTTGAACGTATTGAAAAGGAATAAATGAATGTTTTAAAAGTGGGCACTGGAAAGTGGGAAAAAGTGACCGTTGATGTGTGGGCAGGGTTTTTAAAAGAAATTATTTATTATGCTAAGCTGACCGTTGGGATCCCATGATTCACGGGAACATGTTTCCATGTTTATAAAAAATGAAAAGTTGGTCATTACAATTTAAACTTTTACATATTATTTTAAAGTGATGGTTAAAATTAATTAAATTAAATATCTTTGATCATATTATTCTCCATTACCACCAGTCCAAGTTATTCATTGAAATACTTGAACGAGAGATTCTTTTTCATGATTAATTGCATGTCATCAAATGATTTGGATGAAATTCGGTGTTTACTCTTATAACATATGGAAATCTCTCATGTAGTAGTTTTGTGCAGGCATCGGCTGATACCTGTGAAATGTTTAAAAGAGCAAACTGATAATTCCAACCTCATTGGGTTGCAGTTGGTTCAATATGCACCATGGTCGTGGGCACTCGCCATTCACAACAACTATGCTACACAAGTGTCCATTTATGCCTTTTCCATAGGCCTGCCATCAAACTTTTAAACACATTCATTTTTGGTATGCTGTGTTGCATTGCATTGGCCTGACAAGAAGCTTGTGTTTCGGCTTAGTTTGTTGCTCTCGCTGAGAACCCTCAAAGCCTTCGGTTCGATGCAGTGATCCCGATACGCATTCAAGAGCTTGTAACATCTAATGTTTAGAGGTCAATTGGAAGCCATAGAAATAGTAGCTGAGAAATTAAACAAAAGATTTATTGTTCAGAATACAGAAACTACAATGCTGAAAATACAAGCAATGCAATGGGGATTATCTCCAACCATTATTTTCAGCTAAAGATACCCCCACTGCCTTTGACTCAGCCTGTACATCAGAATTTATCATTTTTCAAAGGCATCAAAATCAGGACTACAAGTTTTCAAAGTGAAAAATCCATAATTGATTGAAAATGAGTAAACTAAAATCTAGCCTGATTCCAACATGTTCCTCCTATACAAAAACTTAATTTTTGAACTTCTTCTTCGAAGTATTTTGTATACAAAAGTAAATCCTAACAAATTCATTCAATATATCATCAAATTTGTGAGTTTCTATAAACTCTTAACTGCTTAAGAATATTGTTTGCTTTCGAATCCAAATTGAACTTACGGTTTTTACTTTTTCTCCGGATATCGAAAATGAGTAGCGAATTGCTAAATGCTAGATCCAAACTGTAAAGTTTATGCATCTGAGACTTGCTCCGCTGCTAGTCATACTAAAATCGCCCAAATGTTCTCTAAGGTAGCCGAACAGGGTTTTAAATAACGGTCCGTGACCGCGATAGCGCCCATGAAATAGCGGTAGCGTTGCCTTCCGATATACTTGCTATACTCGCAATAGCGCTCGCTATGACCACAATAGCGCCCGCTATGACCGCAATCGTAGTAAACGTGACATGACCGAAAACGCAACCGCGAATGCAATTTGAATCCATGTAGCCGAAGATAGAATATGAGGCAGAAGAGCAATTACAGTTACAGTTACGGCTAATTCTTTACATGTATATATATATATATATATATATATATGTCTGGAGTGAATACAAGATAGTATCTATTTAAAAACTCTCAACAATTTGACAATGAATGGTCATACTCCTTCATACGCCTGTTAGGATAACCAAGATAACAGAAAGAGAGACGACACTCTATTTTTTCTATAAGGACCTGTAATATCCCAAAGGACCAGGCCAAGCATATATACAATGAAAAAGGAGGTGAAGGCTCTGCTATTGACTCCTAACAGCCTTAACAGAAACCCAATCGCCTAATCAAGCTCACCAGTGCAGCAGCACATCAACCTATCTCTATCTGCACTTGGTGAATAATACAACATTCACCCTACTCTCTAAGGTTTACAAAGCCTTGATCCTCCAAAACAAACCAAAAAACCTGCAAAGATCCTGCACAAAGAGCAAACGCAAGAAACAACACATACTATACTTAACGCTTACTATCATAGACAACAGGCAGCACGAGTAACCTTCGACTGAACCGACCAAACATATCACTGGATAAGGGTTTTGTCAAAACATATATAACCTGCTCACACGCTGGAACTTCATTTATCAACAACTGACTAGAAGCAACTCTTTCCCTAACAGAAAACAAGTGCATCTCAACATGCTTAAAGTTCGAGTGCCCTCTGATCTCTTTCTGCTTTCTTGATTATCCTAACAGCCTTAACAGAAATCCAACCACCTAACCAAGTGTACTAGTGCAGCACAACTTATCTCTGTCTGCACTTGGTGAATAATACAAAAACACAGTGCTTGAATCCAATACCTCAAGGATACCAACAATTCTTTAACCATTGAGGTCGCTTAGTTCGTATAGATATTAACTAATTCTACAACTTTTTGTTATTTTTTTTATAAATAGGTATATTTAATTTTGTTATGTTTCATCTCATATTCAACAAAACTTGACACATATGCAATTAAAGAGAAAAATCTTGGAATTATTTAGAATTTCAGAGAAGATTTTTTTAAAATATTCCTATGAATTATTTAGAACTTCTTATAAAAATATTATAAAAAAAAGTTTAAGAAGAAGATTTTTTAATTGGAAGTATAAATTTAGAAGAAATTTAGGTAGTGCAAAACAATCCGACTCACGAGGAGATTTGCGTCAAGCATAGGACAATAATGTTGCTCCATCTTCTCAAAATTTACATGTACTACATCATGTGTTATATTTATTGTATTGGATATCACAATTGATCCATTTTTAAAAGTTTTGATTGACCTTTTCTATTTTTTAAATCGAGACCAACAATTAGCATAGAGCTCAATTCGTGATATTGTTTAAAATATTAAGGGTGAAATTAAAAAGATAATAAAATATTAAGGATTGATTTTATTATTATGCCTTACGAAAATAAAGAAAAAATATTTTATTTTAATTTTTTTAAAAATAATTGGTTGATATTATAAAAAAGTTAAGGGAAAATTGAAAAATCATTAAGGGTTGAATTTACTATTATACCTTGAGAATATAAAGAATAGAAAAGTCTTATTTGAAAATTGTTAAAACAATAAGATTAAAACTGTAAAAAGAGTAAGACAAAATTGAAAAGTAAACTTTTAAGGGTTAATCTTACTATTTTATCTTAAGTAAATAATTATTTTTTAAACAAATACCACGTGTCATTATTTAAGTGACTCATTATTATTAGATCAGATTTTGTAATGAAATTGAATAAAGCAATTGACGATAAAACACTTCATGTATGAAATTAGGATAAAAAAATATTATATGTATTAAACAAACAATTAATCCTAATAATAAAACAGAGTATGGGCGGCAAAAAGTGACCATGCAATGGCTAAAGGCTAAACCAAATGCCACTTTCAAAGTAAACAATATGAAAACTATAGAAAAAGCTTCCACTGCGTCCAATATCTTATAGTTAAAAGGTTACATTCCGACTTCAAAAGACTTCATTTTTCAACATTGTCGGCTTTGGGATAAGCAACACATTCATCATACAATTATATGCTATAAATATTGAATCATATTAAAATTTATGTATTCAGTGTACAAAATAATTTATTAAAACAATTATTTCATTTTTTTAATTTTTTTTTTTAATTTTATTCTAAAAAAATAACGTATTGATAATTTGTTTTTATCAATTTATAATATTTTGATTATTTAAATGTCAAATATCACTAGTTTGATGATAGTATACGTTAGTAAATGATTAATTTTAATAAAATATTAAATTTTAGATAAAAATATCAATTTAACAGTAAATTTTAAATTAAAAATTAATTTAACTCATGAATCTAATTAAAATTTCCCTTCGTCGACTATTAGGTTGAAAAAAATTCAACTTGACTCGAAAAATCATTTCTTTTTCAATTTTAAGTTATTCAAGTTGAGTTATTCTTGTCAACTCGAATTATCGAGTCGATTTTCGAGTTAGAAATTAAAATTTTCAAATCACTCGAGAAATCAAAAATTTTAGTTAGACAGTTTTGTAATTTGGTCTCTAATTTATCGAGAATGCCATTTACCTGATATGACAATATCCAAAGAGTATATATAATGGTTCATGCATTACAACAAAGGGTGTCCATTGTCCAAGACAGACCAAGCCTAATTGATTTATCGATCAAGGGAAAAGTGTTTACCGATGTAGTACCATCATCCCCTATTTAATTAGGCAAGAAGGAATCAAAGAAGAGGAAATCGTTATAACTCGTCCTCTTCAGCATCACTCAGACCACCACAAACATCTTCGATGCCATCACACCTATTGAGTCCATTGCAAAGTTTTCCTTCACCGATACTCCCATGCTTGGAGTATGTTGTACGGGCGTTGATATTGAGTGGGAATACTCCTTTCCTTTATCAACACGTCCATTCTATTCATTGACCTCCTATTCAACGATTTCATTCTTTAAATTTTTACTGATTATGTTCACTAGTAGGATCGTTGATCAAACACCTCCACCGTCGTTATTTCTTACAAATCATCATCTAACACTGTTAACTTAAGCATGCCAATGAATCAATTTGTCCCATCAATACAGAATGTTGTCGGTCAAATTGCCGTGATGATGAAGATACTATTGAAGTTTGTCTAATCCAATGAAATACAACTCGTAACTGACATCAATCGCATCACGAAACCGGTTCACATAGATGTCATATGTAATTGCGTGGTTTTTTTTTTGCTTTTATTGTAAATATCAATCTAAAAAGTTATAATGTTAAAAATTGTATTTTTATTCAAATAATATAATTGTTTCAACTATTTATCAAACCACAAATTTAATTACTTAAACACATATTATCCATTTTTAGTCAAAAGAGGTTAATTTTTAATTTTACCCATAAACTTTTAATAGAATACTAATATGACCCTAAACTTTATATAAAATTATCAATTTAAACCTTAAATTCGATCAGAGTCTCTTATCGTTGTCACCACTGAACACCGTCATTGTCGACTAGTATCATTTGTTATTTTATTACGATTCCAATTTCTGGTTAGATCTTCTTACCTATTAGCAAAAAATCAAGTGTGAGTGTTAGATAAGTTTTTTTTTAAAGTGTTCGGGAATTTCATTCTGTTTGGTTTTTCCTATTTTGCATGTTACCCCAAATGCCCGTTTTCAAAAAAAAGAAAAAAAGAAAAAAGGGTTAGACAGTGTAAATATTAAACCAAAATCAAACAATTATATAATGAATCATATCAAAATATATGTATTTAACAATTAATACGTTTTGAAATTGAAATGGCCCTTCTTTTGCTTGAAACCATTCATTCTTGGATTCTTTCACAATGAAACTGACATTTGCGGCGGTCCTTTTACAATTGCTACAATCCCAATCCCTTTCATACCTAACTTTAAGGCTTCATGTTTAATTTTAATTTATTTTACCAATTTCTCAACAAATTTTGTTTTTCACCATAAAAAGATAAACATGCTCTAATCGGGGATAAATAGAGGGGACAGGTGAGGGCAACTGCTCTCATAAAATTTAAAATTGCTAAATATTTTAGATTTTTTATTAGTAATCTATTTTTTCTCATAAAATTTTATAAATTTGTTTCTTTCTATAATTTTAGAAGTTCGCCTCCTAACATAAAATTATAGGTCTGTCCCTAGTATTTAATCATCCATGCAGATACAACTATTCGAACATAAGACCTCAAAGAAAAATAATAATCTCTTAAACCAATGAGGTTACTCAATAGGTTCAGTTAAGTTTTCTATATGATAATATTTATTTAGAATCTTTCTTATTCATTAATAATACACACTCAACAACCGTGACCGTTCGAACCTAAAATCTATAGAGAAAATAATAATTTCTATTTAAATTTAGAATATAAGAATGATTTAAAACCGATTGCAGTTGCTGGATTTGAATTGGACCGTAATCTACGTGACCAAACAATTGATGTGTCACCCTTAAATAATCATTTCTCAAACTTCACGTCACATGTGAGGGTCCATTTCAAAAGGAAATGGAGTTGGTATCCAAAATAAATACTATATTATCTATGAAAGAAAATTGGTCCTACATTTTTCAATGTTGTGTCACATGTTTTCACATTACTTTTTCCCTCAACAATGTCTCATCAAATTTTCGTTTTCCTTTCTTCTCAACCCTACATCATCCATCAATGAATTGGGACACGGCCTAAACACGACTGCCAACTGTCCCATTTGCTTTTGTTTTTTATTTTACATATGTGTTATATGTGTTATTTTCTAAATATAATAATCGTAATATTATATAAATTTTAGTATTTATGTATTGTGGAAATAGTAGAAACAAATCCTAAAAAAATGGTACCAATTGAATACTTCTCTTTTGAAATTCTGAGAGTATTCAATTGCTACCATTTTTTTAGAATTTGTTTGGAAAATGGTAGCAATTGAATATCTCATAATTCATGTCATATTCTTTGAATATTTTTCTGTTTGGAAACTGAATTACGAGATATTTTTCAAGGCCTCAATTTACTGTGACATTATGGTTTTGATCGTATTATTGTGCAATCGGACAGTAGTTACACTATTAAATGGAATTAACATTTTGGAGTAAATGATATAACGATTTAATTTTCAGGGGGTAAAATGTCCCGAAAAATATTTTAAAGAGAAACTCAATATAAAATGTATAGTTTAGGGGGTAATGGTGTATTTAAGCCTTTAATCATTTAATCATTTATGTAATACCAAAATCAAATAATATTTACCAACAACTGCAAGGGTGTTGTTGGTGCTCGAATCGGTGACCTTTAGAAACAACAATAATTCCTTTAATCACTGAAATAAGTTGGTTCATGCAACTATTTGTAAGATTATTAAATATGAATAAAGATATTTTTTTATCTTCTAAAGAAAAATAAATAAATTCTTAGTTTGAAAGCATCGTATCTTAGTTGATATGAAAGTATTATGATATGGAAGTATTATCTAAGTACTACAAGATTATTATCATTTTGATCTTCAAAAATTAATTGATTCATCTTCAAATCATGTAGAAATAATTATTATACACGAGGTAAATCTAGAATGTGTTTAACTAAGAATATGGACCCAAAATATGTAAAAGATATATGATCAACTTCCATATGATAAGATAGCAACCATCTTATAAGAAGATAATATAGAATATATAGCTCAATTGAAAGTATGTTGCATCAAAGTAGACATAGAAAAATATATTTTCCCAAATTTCCCTTATGATCTTAGAAAGAATAGTGATATAAATATTCAATGAAACCATTCAAATGATAGTTTGAAAAATGTTTTTACTGGTGCACTATCTACTTCAACATTTGAAGATTATATTCAAGATTGAATTGTGAAGGGACAAAAATTTTATATGATGTTATTATGAACGAGAGTAAATATGTGATGTATTCCTCTCCTTAATCGAGGTTTTATTTCATTGGATTTTCCTGAATGAGACAACATGTTATATATATTAAAGATACGTGCACTCTTTTTACTTCATTAAGAATTGTGTTCAACTGAGATTTTATCTTATTAAGACTTTAACTAGACGTTTTATCTTCAATGAAAATCTAACGGGAGTGTTATGAATACTCATTATTTGTGGATGCCCATTATTATTAACACTCTATCTATCAAATATACGTTTAATTAATTATTAGAATTTTTATGTCAATTAAGATTAAAATTTTATACTATATTTACTCTTTATATATATAAATATTAACTTTAAAGAAAACATTCTATATACTACATATTAAGAAAAAGTAATACAAACTTATCTTTTTATTTTTCATACCTTTAGTTATTGTTATTCTTCTATTTATTTATTTTGAAAAAAAAAACTAAAAAAAAGTTATAAAAAACTGAGTGACAATTAAGCCATATTAAGATAATATTATATTAAACCTAATTTCTTTTATATCCTTTCTTTCTCGTTCCTTTCCTTTTCTTTTTCTTTCATGTTCTTTTCATATTGTTTTTTCCTATCCTATCTTTGCTTATCCTCCTTTGTTCGCCACAATAACAAAAGAAAATTAAGATATAATAATAGTAACTAATAATAAAAGAACATTGGTTATTCCATTCATTTCTTTTTATTACTGTTTGGTACTGGTGTCCACATGAGACAAAATGTTCTGAGTTACTTGACCCTTACTTAAATTTCCTTAACCAAGTCAGCTACTGTAAGAACATTATATATACACTTTCTCCCACACTTTAGAACTCTCCTAACCATTTGTGTTTTCCTGCACCTACAGAAAACCAGGAAATTTTCCTGGGAAAACTGCTTTACAACCATATTAAGCTTCCTTCTTCCTATATTGGGTTTATTTCTCTCTTCCAAGTTTTTAAAAAAGGTTTCAACTTTCCGAGTTTCTTATTGATGATTTAGTACAATCTTTCCTTTTTCGTGGTTGTGATAAATTTTGGGGTTGGGTTTCTTTAATGGGTACTCGGGTTTCAACATCTTGGAACAAAAGCAAAAGGTACATCATCTTCTTGAACATTTCATTTCTCTTGGTGGCTTGTGTTTTCTTGATTATATGTTTTAGGTCTTCTGGAATTGTTGTCTTAAGCAGTAATAATAGTCAGCAAGATTGTAAGGACCTGGAGAATCTAGTCGATTATAGAGCCAAGTGTTCTTCCCTTAAACACAGTAGCCCATGTGTTTCTCAAGGCTATATTGATTATCTCTACCTTTCTTATTGCAATTTTGGAAGATTTCCACTTTTGGGTCATTGCCTTTTGATTCTTTGGCTCCTTGTGTTGTTTTATCTTTTGGGAAATACATCCTCTGAATACTTTTGTTATTCCCTTGAAAGCTTGTCAAACCTGTTGAAATTGTCCCCTACACTTGCTGGTGTTACTCTCTTGTCTCTTGGCAATGGTGCCCCAGATGTGTTTTCCAGCATAGTCTCTTTCATGGATAGTGGAACACAGGATATTGGACTAAATACAGTTATGGGTGGTGCTTTCTTTGTAACATGTGTTGTGGTCGGAACCATAAGCACTTTGGTGCACCATAAACGAGTCAGGGTTAACAAACCTGCTTTCATCAGAGATGCTTGCTACCTTCTCATGGTGATTGCGTCCTTGATTTTGACATTGGCTTATGGCAAAATCAGTCTCTGGGGAGCAATGGCATTTTCTTCAATGTATGTTGTTTATGTTATCCTTGTTTATGTCATATACGTGTTTTGGAACACTGGTGACATGGACTCTGATTCGAGTTGCAACAGCGATTTGAGCATACCGATCTTGGATGGAGTCGAGAAAGTAGAGCTAGATGGTTTGGAGGAAGGGAATCTAGGAGATGATGGAAAAGGAGCTGAATCCAGGAAATGTTGCTTTTGTTTGAGAACATCAAGAACTTGTAAATTGTTGCTCTGGGTCCTTGAGATGCCCCTTTATTTACCTAGAAGATTGACAATTCCAATTGCTTGCCAAGATAGATGGTCTAAGCCAATTGCAGTTGTTTCTGTCACACTGGCACCAATTCTCTTATCCATACTTTGGGATCTTCAAGATGACAGTGTCAAGCTCAGTCTCAACTTCAATTCAGGCCTGGTGGTTTACGGAACCGGGGTCATTATTGGAACCGGCTTAGGGGTTGTTGCATATTTGAAAACCGAAAAATCGAGCCCACCGAACAACTGTTTGCTCCCATGGCTAGCTGGAGGGTTCTTTATGAGTGTGATTTGGAGTTACATTCTAGCTCAAGAACTCGTTGGCTTATTGATTTCACTAGGCTACATACTCGGAATCAACCACTCAATCCTTGGTCTGACGGTCCTGGCGTGGGGCAACTCACTCGGAGACCTGATAACCAACTTGACAATGGCTCTGAATGGTAGTGCACAAGGTGCACAAGTGGCTATATCAGGCTGCTATGCTGGTCCCATCTTCAACACCCTATTTGGTTTGGGCTTGTCCTTCATTGGCTCAGCCTGGTATGGATACCCTTCACCTGTTGAGATTCCTAAAGACCCTTATCTACTAGAAACACTGGGTTTTCTAATCTGTGCCTTGGTATGGGCGCTTTTGGTTCTGCCATTGAGAGATATGAAGCTTGATGGGGTCCTTGGAGGTGGCCTTTTTCTTATCTACTTGACTTCCATGTCTTTAAGGTTGATCCAAGTGGTTGCCTGATACTGTTGAAAATTGTATACGTAGTTATTACATGTATATATTGATATCATATACTTTTCTTTAAGCTTGCCTTACTGTAGACTAACCAATTAATTACATATTGTCTTTTTCATTCACTGGTAATTTTAAGTAATCTGATGTCGTTTGATGAGCTCATGATTTAATTAAAATTTGATATCATATAAAAATTGATAAATATGAATACATTAAATATGCGAAAATTAAAGTAAATATATCATCGATTATAACGAAAGAAAACATATCGTTAGGTTAAAAGAACAAACAATAACACAACATAAATGTCAATTCTGCTTTTGTCTAAGATCTTTTGGCAGTATGCAAGCTTTGGTCCACTTCTGAAGAGTTTTCATCCATATTTTTATTTATGATTAAATTAGCAATATACCAAAAACGTGTAAAGTAAATTATTTATTTATTTGACCGGTATATTATGATTGATTTAATAGTTTATTTTTAAATTAGTCTGAGGTGAATACAAATTAGTTTATGTTAAAAGACTTTCAAACATCGAGCACTTGTATTTATGTATACGCATACTCAAACCCAAAACTTCAAAGAATATCAATAATTTCTTAGGAACTGAAATTGCTTAATTTGCGTGTATAATAATTCACTTTTAAGTCTTTAGGGAAGCTTAGGTCTGATTGTTTTTGGAATGTCCAAGCTTGAATCTTGTGAATCTAAAACCTCGTTTCAATATTTATGTTTTTATAAATTTTTATGGTTAATGTTAAATTAATATTAAATAAATATTGAGAGTAAATATATTTGCATGATCGATCAAGCTGTTCATCTTTATTTCTTTACATTCCTTTATGTCATAGGTTCTAGACACACTAAGAGCATCATTTCTCATTTACCTCCGCTCTAGTTAAAATTAAGATTTATCAAAATAAATAAATAAATAAAAACTAATCGTGACAAAGTCGAACAAATAAATATATTCCTTTTTTTCCCCTCTCTCTAGTCGCCGAGAACAAAATTCCAATGTCATGCCTTTTTAGTCCGCTGAGTCTGTATGAGGTCGATTTCTCAAATTCGTCACCGTTTACCATAGATCCACAAAAGATTTCTCAGCATCTTTGCACGCCCAAACTCTCTGATGATAGTCGTTCACCATTGAATGGCGCTGACTCCACGACATGTTGTCGCCGTCAAGAGGAGAAATCTCGCCGCACATATTTCCAATTCTACATCGGATCACTAAGGAAAAGAACCCCCATCTTCGTTGATTGCAATCATTATCGTCGTTCACGGGTGTAACTACTGGAAAGGTCACCATCGTTACTGCCAAGAGACTCACATTCATTATCGTCGTTGATTGTAAAATATAAGGGTTACATCTATTAACGATTACAATTACAAATTAATTTACACACCTATAAATTTCGTCCCTTATGCCAGATCCTTCGATTTTAATTTATTAATGTACTTGTCAAAAGTTTATGCGAATTGTAGAGAACACAGATGAGCATTTTTTTTGGACAAAATGGAAAATAAACTTTGAACGGGATTTAAATACCTCCACCAAAATTGCGTTATTTAAAGAGAGAAAAAGGTGGGGGGAACGGGGAATCCTCGGACAAAAACGTTATCGTTTTGGATACCTGCATAGGTTTTGGATTCGGTTTAACGAGCTAGTGGATTTGGGCGGTTAAAGCCAAATAAATTTAGGACTTTGGGCAAGTTTTGGGACTTTAGGATCCAAAAAAATTTAGTGTTTTGGGTGAGTCTTAGGTTAGCCTGCTCAAAACCGAATAATTGATTTTAGTTGGCGCTCAAAAACATTTTTTTAGTTATGCACGAATATCTGATTTATTGACCAATTAATCTAGATCGATCAATTAATTTAGATCGAATACTACATAGGTGAGGATAACCCTCATAATCCGGAGCAATTCAAACCTTAACCTTGCTTAAAGAATTTAGTGCCTCATCTCACTAGATTAGGATAAATTATTAAGATTTTTTCCATTAATAAATTAAATAATATTGCATGTTTAAGTATGTTTATTAAATTAACGATAGTATTAATCGAATCAATAAAAATATTAGAAGCGTAATTAGACCATTCATGGATTTGTTTAATTAGACGATAATATTAGGTGAGTTATTGGATTGTTTGATTTTGAAAAAAATTATAAAATTTGCACGCTATCACATAGAGGTAAATTTTTCCTTTTTCAAAATAGATATTTATAAGAAAGTAGTTTGTTCCTACAATTTGAAAACACAAGAAATAAACAAATATTCAGTGGGGGACATAAAAATAAATAAATATTTATAACAAAGTAGATTCTATGAGCTGAGGACCCAAGTACTCAATTCTATCCATCTCTGAATTCTCCGGCGCTTGATTTTCTTCCAACCATCTTAAATCATCTTCTTCATTCACTCCATCTGCACAATCCAATCAATCAAAGTTAATCTTCACTCTCCATTCTCTTTTATAGTATTTGAATCTCAAACGCATGGCATGGTTTTTCAAGCTTTTTCACTTACGTAAGACTGGTAAATCTTTGTAATAGGAGCAATCCCGATCATCTTCTTTAGAGTAAGGAGGGCCAAGAACATCAAGCACCGCACATGGTGTTATGGCTCTGAATTCATGGATATTACCTCCTGTTGTGGGATACAACACCGACGTCTCGCATGGCGCTTTTATCACACCATCGGCTTTCAACCTTGCCAATCTCACTGAAACCAATAGCACAATATGAATGCATGATCGGATTGTGTCCACATCCGGAAGAAAATATGGATTCTTACGCTGGGAACTAGGTGGCATTGCCATAGGGTGTTGAGAATTGGGATGATCAACCCAGTCATAGGATTTTATATGCAGTTTTCCCACTAAAAGCTTGCTGAAAACAGTCATCCCTGGATGGTTATGGAGAGGGATGACAGCATTTGCTGGAAGAAAGAAGATACAAATCTGCACCAGTAACAAATCCAAGGTAAAGCAAATCCATGGCAATAAGGTATGACCAAATGAGACAGAATACGAACCGAGAACTCATGGCATTGGTATATGGCTGTATATGCAACTCTTGGAGTTCCTTTCACCGCACTCTTGGATTTGAAGAAGTGCATATTTTTGCTAAGCCCCACATGCTTTGGTATCATCTTATCTACAAAATCAAGCCAACTTCATTTTCAGATGCAAAATCAACTGCTACAAATTGAAGGTAGTGCTTTAGTCAATTACTTCGAGAAACGAAATCTTGTGTTCCAACGTATACATAAATACATATTGTCTGAAACATAAGTACATCACATTGTTACGTGGGATTAGGGATGGTGTCCCGTGACGAATGAGAGTAGTCGTTTCTCTTGAAATTTTCAAATGCTTTTATATTTTATATTTTTTTATGTATATTCTATTAATTATCTATTTTCGTAACTAAATTTCTATAAGTTAATCCCAAATAAAAAATTATTCATCCGTTCCATGTGGGAACAAAGACGTGTGAGCTAAAGCAGATTAAGTTATTAACTAAAAAGATAAAGCTTCAGTTTTTGTAGAATACTGTTGGATTTTGATTGATTGACAGTAGCTAAGCAAGTAAATATAAATACCATCTGCAATCGGGATAAAGTGCGTGATAAATACATGATTGCTCAAATTCATGCACCAAAAATTACATGCATTTATGATGAATATCCTACGGAAACCGACTGACAAAGCGTTGAATCCATCGATTCAACTGCAGTTTCTATGATTTGGTCAAGTGTTTCATGGGAGAAAAATAATTCTTCACCACCACGAACAAAACCAAACCTAGGTTTTTTCTTTTAAACAAATAATCAAACAGAAACTAATGATGAATTCAGTCAAGAAACTCACCGAGAATGCTGCATAGTTTGTTTACATCAGAATCAGCAGGAACAGTTCCAGGGCCCTTAAACGCTTCCCGACATGAATCAAATAACTTTTGCAGTAATCTGGGATCTTTTGTTTTCTTGTTGCTCTTCTTGATGGGTTTCTTAACGTATCTCACCTTGACGTTTGCATGTTTAATCTTCATAATATCCTTTCTTTGATCCACCAATCCACCGGCATTCACCATCACATTAGAAGTTGATACAAAATTGTCAAAGATCACTGATTTCGTGCAACAAAAACCCAGAATTTCAAAATTCAATCTTCGATCAAAGAAATCAAAAACGGTCCAAACCCAAGAAAGAAGAGAAAAGAACCAAGAAGAAAATGTGAAGCCTTTCAACACAGGTGGAAATGGATTCGTTTGGATCAAGAAGAAAAGCCTTGGTATTGGAAAAAGAAGAACATTGTGCAAAAATGTGAAGATTTTGGAAGACTGTAGCGAGAGGAGGTGGTATATAAGGGATGGCAAAACCAGGGGCCATGAACAAGTACGAAAAGCCTTTATACTTGAAAACAGTGGATAACAAGTGGGAAAATATAAAGAGAAAGGCTGTTTTGTAGCATTAGATATTCTTTGGGTGAATTGCAAAAGCCTACTCCCCGCCCCCAAGATAGAGACTCAGAGTTGAATACTGCCTGTAAAACGACCCCTAGTTTTTTCCCCTTTTCATTACTAACATTTTTATAAATCTTGTCATTTGTTTTATGAGATGAAAAAATTATATTTCTTTTAACAATTTGATATAAAGTTGTTGCTAATTATTAAGATTGTTCATTTCTTTCTATTAATAAATTAAATAATATTGAATTCTTTGTTTTTATGTGTATTAAATTAACGATAATATTTATTGAATCAATAAATTATTATTTAAATTTAAGAATTTAATTATTCAATTGATGTTGAATCGGCCTCAATGGTAAAAGAAAGTGTTATTTTTCCTTGAAGTCTTGAGTTCTAACAATTCTAAAAAAGAAATTACTCGATCAATCTTTAATAGTTATATATTTGATAATTGAATTTTAGAAAACAATTCTATTTTTTTATAACCGTATATTTATGATTTATTAATCGACTAATTTGAATTGGGTACTGCAGAGGCAATGACAAGCCTCTCAACTCAGTTTATTTCATTTGCAAACGCTAAATTCAAACCCCTTAACATCGCATTTTAAAAATTCAGCTTAAAATATTATTAAATATAATCAATATTTTTTAATTATATTTTCAAATGTACCAAAAAGGGGAAACAACTCATTTTGATGTTGTAATGAGGTAGGGAGATTATAAGAGTAATTTATTTATTTTTAAATAAAATGATATTAAAATCTAAATTTAAGATGGGACATATTTAAATTTTATGTTTATTTTGAAGTTAAAATTTTTCATTATTTTTTTATTTTATTGATTGTATTTATTTAAATTTTTTGTTTATATTTATCTTATATAATAATTTTATATTATTAATATTTAAGTATTTATTTTTAAAAATATTTTTAAATCTTTTACTAATATAATCCAAATAAAAACTTAAAAATAAAAGTTATGATGGTGCTAATTAGATGTTAATTAGGATGAGAAATATTCGTCTTGACTTGAAAATTTGTTTTTTTACTCGATTTAAAATGATTTCGAATCATAATTTTATAATTTCAACTTGAGAAAATTTTAAATTTGAAACGAATTATAAGATAAAACTTGAATAAATTAAAATTTTTAATATCTAGTGGATTAATTTTTAAATTTGAGTCGAGTCTCATGACTCTATACGATATATTTATATTACATATGAAGAAAAATAAAAAAAAAATACATGTATTGCATATGATTATAAAAAATCATTTAAATTAAAATCAAATATTAAAAAATTATAAATATTTACAATTAAATTTAAATAAAAACTTAAACAACTCAAATTTTATAAACTCGATTCAATTCAAAAATATTTTAAGTTTTAAAATCATTTAAATTAAAATAAAATATTACAAAATTATAAATATTTACAATTAAATTTAAATAAAAACTTACACAACTCAAATTTTATGAGCTTGATTCAATTCACAAAAATAAACTTAAATTATAAAATAAAACTTGTCGGCCGAAATAACTCGAACTTTTTTACATAAAACGAAAAAAAAATAAATAAAATTTAATTATAAAATAAAAATCATCAACCTAAAAAAAGGCTAAAAATAATAATTTATTCGATCAAACGCTGAATTCTAATTCTAACACATGAAATCGTAAACAAAGAAGCTTTCTCACGATTACTGTTCATATAGACCGATAAAGCGCCCTTATTATTTAGCCGAATTTATTAAATTGAATAAATAGTTTAACCTCGGACATATTTAATATTAAATTCTTTATTAAGAAAAATAGTTAGTGCATGTGATTATTTTTTGTTAATAATGTAAGAAATAATTACATAGTTTGAATCCCCTAAATTCCTATATATATAAAAGACATTGGATTCGAAGAAAGTAAATAAGTTGTGTACAGCTTATAATTGATTTGATGCTTCAATTAATGATTACAAGTTTTCCCTTCAAAATATCATCACTTAGGTATCCAAAGGTCCTTTCCCTTTTTTAAAGGTTTTTTTGTTTTATTTCTGATGCAAAGGATTTCTTAATTAATAGGGTCAATTTTATTTTAGCCATCAAACTAAAAATATTTTTAAAATACCATCAATCAAGTCACGCCACCGGTCGTTAACAATTAATAAAATTATTAATGTGATAGTTTTTTTTTTTTTTTATAATTACAGATTTCATGAATTTAAATTTAAATTTAGTTTTGATCATCACCTATTTAAGGCAGGCTGATCCACAATTCGAGGAGGTGTCGGGGGGATAGAGTCCCACCATTCTTTCACTCGCCTCTCCCTTTGGTTATTTCTCATGTATTTCCCTAGCTTTGATGTCATCATCATCATATGTAATACACCACTTATTATTAGATACTTCAACGGAATTACAGCCAGCAATATCGCCAAACCGGTGAGCCCAACCATCACCATATCTGCATGCTGAACCCAAACAAACCGTGTGTTAATTCCGTCGCAGGATGAAAAGAAAATGAAGTTGCATGACTTATACCTCGTGTGCCCTTGAAACAAGAATTGAATGCAATTTCAGAATTGTAACATTTGCTTGATGTATTATCCCGGAAATGGTAATAAATCCATACTGTGCTGAAACTATGTTTTCTCTTGTCGACCCTGTCGGCTCCGAGGCAGTGCACACGGTTATCTCCTTTTGCTTGACTTTGACCCTTTCTAGTTTAGCTTGGATCATTTTCGATACCATGTACAAGCAAGCCTGCCGATATCGCCTTCCCAACCCATTCCCTGCAACAACAAGAACAACAACATGATTTCCTAGTGCTTTATTCTCTCTTTAGACTTGAATTTGCATCAAAACCAACTTACTTGTACACAATTACTGTAATTGTGGTGATTGCGACAAGGGTAGCTCCCGGTCGCTTCCATGAAATTATTTCTCGAAACCAAGTGATAACACTCTTGAGTGGCTTCAGTAGCTCCTATATATGCCAAAAGAAAAGTGCAAACATATAAGGTTCTTGCATCAATCCTATGATCTATTCTTTTAGAAAGAAAGATATGTTTGACTGATTAAAAAATAAAAAAGATTACTTGGCTTGAACAGAATCATGGGGCATTAGAGAGGGAAGTGTGTAATTACCACAAGAATGAGAGCGTTTTCGGTGACCCCTTCTTCTTTTAACCCCTCCATTGCTTCTTTAGCACTAGCAACTTCCCTTTCTTCCTTTCTCGTTCGATTAATGGCCGTCTCCAGTGAAATCATATCATCTTCGCCGCCTGCAATAGCTTTACTCTTTCTGGTCACTCCTTTTGTTTCTATGCTCAATATAGTCTGATCCAAAAAGCTCATTTTCTTTAACATGGAGTGTGCACTACATGGTTGTCCGATATTTACCCTCTTTAGACTCTCAGCAAGCTGTTCGAGTACATAGTCCCCCTTAGGTAACTCGTCATATAAAGCAAAAATCAAGAACTTTGTGGGATCTGGGGGAGAAATTCAGAGCATTTCTCTAGCTGCATGAAGTCTTATAATGCTAAAAATGGTCCTTGCATGCATCTCCCATGCTTGTATTTGACTTTCTTCCTTAAATTTAGATGAAAATTTGTGCATTAGCAGAACCTCCTTTGTGAGCGCTATCCAATGGTCACGCCTTGTGCAGCTTGTCATCTCCGGAAACTCCAGAAGTACTTCTTGGCTAGAAACACCGGAATCTCAAGTCACTCGAAAATCAGAATAAGAGCAATTAAAATTTTCAATAAGCTTTAATATCAGCATTAAACTAGCATCGACTCTAATTATCAAGCAGTTATATCAACTTTCAAATCAGCATTTATGGACTGATGCATTGTTGAATTGAATTTAGAGATTCAGGTGATCACTAAGCTATTACCTACGTGTTATTATGTCTTGACTGAGAAATAATAATCATACTAATAGTAATGTCAGTGATAGTTCTTTGCAACCATATGCTTACAGTTCAGGTGACTCATAGACTATGGCTTTGTCAAAAAGTAGAGCACCCCATGGACCAGTGGAAGCCGGTTTAACACTGTGTTCTATATCCCTCGAAAGATTGATCTTAAACGCATCTTCATATGTTAATGCTCCCGAGGCCTCGAAGTAGAGAGCATAATTTGTCAGCGTAAGCCTACCTAGAAAATTAACCTCCAAAGTAAGTATATTCGAAGTAGCAATGATTCAAATGATAACAAGATACATATTTGTTTGAATGCCTGCACATTCTTACTAAACCAGGAAATGAAATCAAACCCGAACCAGGCCAACTTGTTCCTCCAATATGGCGGACTACTCGTTGCGTGGTGGTCGTTCCTTCGACATGCAATATAATTTCATCATCAGCTAACTCTACACCCTTTGGTTCGGCTTGTTTCTGCAAATGCTTCATGCAACTGTTGAACCAACATCGAATGCGAACAAATAAAGCACTTGGAATATTGCAAACTACATTTTGGGCTCTACCCACTGAGTTTGAAACGAATACGGCTTAAAACACAATATAACCCTTGAACATGGCTTACTTGTCTATTTCTTTTAGGAACTTATCGTATGCAGGGAAGAAGAGCCGGTTGCCAGTAGGCGCGGTTAGAGTATCGAATGTGAACCTTCCATTAACGTAATCCGCAACTAATGGAACTAATGATCCCAACCACACAAAGGCATCTTCTCCAACACTTGGTTCATCATTAACTTTTCAAGAAAGGACACAAAT